AATTAATTACTAATTTGCATAACTAGTTAATTTTTTGCTGTTCTATGTCTAAAAACCACTCATTGGATTTCAATGAAACTTTTAAAGAGTACCCATCACATTTCAATGTACCTAAGACTATGCACCATATTAGTTTTTGGTAAATATTTATGCTTCTTAATCATCTAATTAACATAATTAATTAATACTGATATCTCAAGTATTGATCATCACATTTGAATAAAACTTGGTAAATAAATGCTCTAGGACAATAGACAGTCTGATTAATTTTGGGTTAAAATCTGTTCATATTAACTCTCTAATTAGTATAATAATTAATATTTTTTTGGTTCTAATCACATTTCAATGAAACTTGGTACATTGTGCAGACCTTATTAGTTTTACACTTAAATCTGTTCATATTAGTTACCTTATTTGCATAATTAGTTTTCAGCTATTCCATCAATATCTCAAGTATAAGTAATTTTGAATTAATTTTTAATGTGTCTATAAAACTCTCAGCACACGGGAGTTCTTTCTAAGCTTTCTTTGATCTAAGTTAGTATTGGTACAGTTATTGATGGGTTCACTTCATATCAGTGAGATGTGTGTGTTCAACTCTCAACCGACTACTAGTACACTCAACAGTATTCCTTCTGCCTTAAAACACTATACTTGAAAATCAAATTGAATGACAGTATTCTTCCCAAGAATTATGCATAGCATTACAATTCATTTGCATAAAAGTTTAACTGATTTTATGTAATAAGAAAATTTTTTCGAATAGCCTTTAATAAATTCTGTTGTTTCCCTAAAAGTTTGAGCATGGTGTGTTCGAATAGACCTGGGGACAACACTGAGATGAGGACAATAATATCTGTCTGTCCAATGTGCTATTATTATCCTTAGTGCACATTTATCAATGAATAATCCAGCAATCCTTATCGCAAAGAGTAGCAGATTTCCAAACCATGATGGCTTCAATATTTACTGTGAGCTGTTCTACAAGAGATACATTGCAGGGAAAATAACAACATTTTGTGAACATTTTACTGAGATGTGATGTCACTAAATGTTATTAATGGCTGTCAGTGCATTAATGTAATTTAATCTGAAATCTAAAGTCTTTGTTTCTGTGTCTGCCAGGTTTGGTCAAAAGAGACGAGGTATGGGTGAGGGAGGTAGGCAGTCAGATTTATTACAGAAACAGAAAGAAGATGAGATTGAACGATATAAAGCCAGGTTGGCAGCAAAGGAGGAACATCAAAGGTAATAGTGAAAACTGTGTTCGTTTTACACCCATATAAGTTCTGTCAGTCTGCCAGTATATCAACAGTCCTTTGTACACTAAAATACATACATAAAAATTAAAACTGCTGTAGTTTAACTGTCCTTGCTGTATTTTAGAATACCTTGCTGTATTTTATACCTTGTTCACACAGATTAGAAATACACCATTGTAGAGCCATACAATGGCATATTTATTTGCAGTCACACAACATAAAAAAACGCTGGCGTAATTCTATATCATACCTGTGTAGCATGCCCTCTATGGGTTCTATCTAACCCCAATTCCTTGTCTGTTTTTGCAATAAACTTAGCTATTTACTTGGTTCCGTGTATCAATCTCAAAATACTTTCCTCTTGCCAAATAGAAATCAGTAGCAGGACTTCATTATTATACAATTATTTCCGGAACTACTCGCGCCACTGACCAGAGCGATACATTTATCACTCATCGTCATGTTGTTGCTATGAAGTAGTCACGAATTCCTGGTAGAGGGTGTTTGTGCTACTGTTTATGTCACTGTGTGTGTTCACACAAACTTTTGTTTAGAATTTAGGTAAAATCCACCATTTTACACCAGTGTAAACTGGTCACATGGTTAAAAGAACACTCATTAAATTTACGGTGGTGCTACAACATAAATGTTACATGTCAACGTGTATATGAATGCCTAGCTCTAGTTTAGATTTTCTCACTCTATTTTAGAATGCCTTGCTCCATTTAGATATGCATTACTTATCATCACTGCACAAAGCAGCATTGCAAAGAACTCATTTGCATATTCTGATGTGTTTGAACTACATGTACAAGTTCTTGTCAGGTAACACAGTTATGTCATCTGGTTACTTTACTCAGTTTAATAACATGTTTTATGCCCTAAATCTGAAAGAAATGTTTGGTTAATTAATTTAAAACCTGGATGACTATCAAGGCATTAGAATATGCAATAAAAGACTAAATTTATAAACTTATTAGAATCTTTATGTGCCTGTTAGACATGGAAAATCAAATTCGATGAATTCAAAAATATTTATCAGAAAACAAGATAAACAGAGATGTTAGGAAATCTCTCTGAGTGAACTGAGTGTTTAATGTTTCTTTCCCAGCTGTATATATATGTAGACAGAACACTATTTATTCCCAGTCTTAGTTTTATTACATGCACCATGTCACTACAATAACATTACATTTCAAAACATAGTCTGTGATAAGACATTAATAAATAATTTTTTTGACTTTTTGTAGTTAGGTTTAAGGTTAAACAACTGTGAAAAAATTATAATGCATAGTGATTGACCACAAAATTGAAGGCTGCTAGAAAATTTTGAAGATTTTCACTGATTTTCAAAATTCATAAAAATTTGTCCCCTTCAGTATCATAAACAAAAGGTGAGGGTTATCTAAATAGACTAAGTTCACTGAATGGGGAGCAGTAAATTTTGATGCCCCTTTCTTGTCCGCCAGAATACAAGAACAACACAAAAAATTACGAGAACAAGAGGCTTTGAAGAGACAACAAGAAGATGAACAAGTAAATCATCAAGCGCTGAACAGAGAGGCTATTAATAAGTCACAAAGAATGTTGCAACTACGGCAACAACATCAGCAACGACATCATCCAAGACACGACGAGTATGAGGATGAAGAACATAAATATAAGAAAAATGAACAGCGAGTAAGTGATAGTGATGTAAGTGTCGTCCCGTTAGTCGTCTTTTTGTCTTGTTTGTCATCTTGTTTTACCTGTATTTATGTTTAGCATCTGTGTGCAACACTTTTACAAATTTATTTTAAATTTGCTGCTGCCAAGAATTACTGGTAAATGGTCATTCCATGACATACAGTAACAAAACTCATTTTGGTTGGTTCTGATCCATAGCTCAGTGGGCGAATTATTTAAATGAGGAGTGTGATAGTACGGTAACAAGTTACTTTTCAGGAACGCTTGCAATGCAGGACATATAAACAGTAATTCATGCAACATTAAATCATTTATTTAAATGTCCTTCTTTAGGCTTCTTTATAACTTGCATGGCAATAAACCCATTCCTCCATGCTTTCTATTCAAACAACAGGGCGGGTATTCTGACTACTCCAATCATAGCAGTGCAACTGATGCTAATATAACTCAGTATTTAACACAAAGGGAACAAAAGTTTGCTGAATCTCGTAACTCGCCAGTTCCCAAGTCAACAGAGTATGCAAAATTAAGGTGAGCTGTTTCCATGGTAACTTATTTCATTATTAATCAATTATTACTAATCTTGGTGTTCTTGCTGTTCTCAACCTTTTCATCACCAGTTCACCTCTTTTAACCACAAAATAGACTTGTTTATTGAGTTAAAACTGAAAATTAAATCAAATTAGGATTCATTTCCAGAAATATTGAAGAACATGAGAAAAAATTGCAGAACAATTTGAGGGAGAAAATCTGGTGATGAAAAGGTTAAATCATATTCTATTTGTCTGATTCTAGACTAGTATCATTAATAAATGCTTGATAACATAAATATGTAGTGACATGTTCACATAGCTCATAGCTGTTGTAGTACAGTTACATCTTTAAGTCCTGGTCTCATTATACTATGATTAGTGATGTCATTTATAACTTATAGGTAAACTTTTTAAAAGAAATGATATACTGTAAAGGGGTTAATTATTCACTGCGTTTTAATTTTGCTTATTTCAATGACTGGAAAATGCGCTAAATTAAAACCCAGTGAATATGTAAAATTTAGCATAGAACACATTATCTAAATGATAAAACCATGAATATGAAACCCACTGAATATGCCTGAAATGGTAAATTAGCGAAATTTAAACCACTAGAGGGCGCTTGTGACGTACAGGATCAGAAATTCTACACAATTCATTCACTGCCCTGGTAGCATTACAATGTTTCAGCTCCAATTGTCTTATATAGATGTTATATATAATCATGACATCCATATATTCTGTGTTTAATTATGATTGCTGCATGGTACATTGTATTTTCTGCCATATACACTTTACTACATGGCATAGAATATCAACTTCAGTATTTACAAATGGTTGTATTGCAGACTTTATAAATTTCAGTGTTATTGATAATGAGAAAAGTACATATCTGAGAACTCGTTTGATATCAATCACTTCTTCAATGTTTATTTTTCTTTGTTTGTATTTTCACTACACTTGACAATGCACACTTGGATCTTGTATCCAAAAACAGCGCCAGCAACTACAAATTTGAGTAAAATATCACCAGCAATATTCATTTGGAAGTCTTACAACAATTTTGCTGAACTAGTAGTTTTTGGGGCATGGCCTTGTAAAGTTTATTGTGCCTACAATATTGAGCGTCCTGTGCCACTCTGCCTTTAACAGTTAAAAACACACTATTATGGGTGACATGACAATTTGTTCACTAACACACTAACAGATGACATTATGGAATTAACGCATTTTTAACATCACAAGACATCAACCTGATTGTGAAATAGACATAGGTAGAGACTTTATTATGCTTTACACATGACATCATCTTTCATCAATTATCTATGTAAATCACATTTAAAGTAGAAGCTTTCTCATAAATGCATATACCCCAACATTTAATTCATATTGCAATAAATTGTAATCTTGGGCAACATATGGATATTAACTTAACAAATGTTGGGGATCACCAGCCTAATTTTGGGGAAAATGATGATTGTATTTTAGTGGATAGTGCCTATTTTGTCAGTATTCTAATGCTGTTTTTGTTTTTCTTTTCTGTGTTCTATGGAATTTCCTCACAAATATTGATTTTTAAAAGTTTTGTATAATACATAACTGTAACACACAATACTATAGCAGTGTTATTTCATGGTGTGGTGGGACAATAGATTCATAATTTTATATAATAAACCAATGAACGTTGTCATGTGGTTAATGACTAACTTTCTCAAAAATTATGAGTAGGCTTCTACCTTTAAGGAGCTCTCTATGGGATTTTGTTAACCAATCAGAGAGCACTTTACTAAAACAGATCCTACGGAGTGGTCTGTAACATGAATTTTGATTGGTTTCTGATCACATATGACCTGATTGCAATTCATGTAATGCTTGATAATTGGATGAATGCAGTTAGAGGTCAGACATCTACCTGCATCTCATTACAGTCGCATTATATAACAGTTGATTCAGCCATATTTGTGTACACTTTCAGGCAGTCCGGCGGAAGAGACTCACCTAATCCTGCACCTCGCACGCATGATTATCTGGATCATACAAGACCTGAACTAAGATATTCTGATTACTACTCTACTCAGCCGAGATCAAATGCCTATACATATGGCAGTCTAGGCAGGCCAGCAAAACTCCATCCACAGAGACAGTTAGATCAAACTGGTAACAACCAAAGGCATGAAAATCCTGTGCCAACCACTCAAAGACAGTATGCTACTCATAGTTCACATGGACGAACTACGCCCACTGTGATGACGGGACATCAGGAGAGTGGTTCCCATTATGGTTCGCTTGGACGAACAACGCCTACTGTTATGGCAGAACACCAGGAAGGGAGTTCGCATTATAGTTCACATGGACGAACAATGCCCAGTGTTATGGCAGAACACCAGGAAAGGAGTTCCCATTTTAGTTCACATGGACGTACAACGCCCAGTGTTATGCCTGAATATCAAGAAAGGAGTTCCCATTATAGTTCACATGGACGTACAATCCCCAGTGTTATGGCAGAACACCAGGAAAAGAGTTCCCATGAACGTACAATGCCCAGTGTTATGCCTGAATATCAAGAAAAGAGTTCCCATTATAGTTCACATGGACAAACATTGCCCAGTGGTATGGCAGAACACCAGGAAAGGAGTTCCCATTATAGTTCACATGGACGTACAACGCCTAGTGTTATGCCTGAATATCAAGAAAAGAGTTCCCATTATAGATCACATGGACGAACAACGCCCATTGTGAGGGCAGAACATTGTGATACAGACTCACATTACAGTGAACATGGTAACTATGTGGACCAGAGAAGATACCGGGATTCTGGGAACTATGATGACCAGGTTAGCTATCGGAATGCAAGACAATACAAGGAAAGTGTTGATGTTCGAAATCATAGACATTCAGGCTTTTATGAAGATTCTTATTATCAAAAGCCACAACAGGATTATACAAATAATCAAAATTATGGAAATAATGAAACATACAAGGATTCTCGGCAGTATGATGATCGAAGGAATTACAGGGACACAGAAAATTATGTGGAACCTCAAAATTATGATAATTCACGGTATTATTTTAAGGACAGAAGAGATCCAGAAAAAGTTTGATGAATTAGTGCATGGAACAGTTGCTATGATTTGTTAACATTAGCAATTTATCCACAAAGAAAGTCTCTAATTGGTGGGTTTGGGTCATGTGATGATGAATGACACTGTTGATTGGCGCATATTTTCCACACAATAAACATTTTCCATCACTGCAGTGGATGATGTAAATTATTGTCAGAAAGAATAAAAAAAAACATATATTTTTTCTTAATGTTTTAACTTTGTATTTCCCTTACCAATCATATTGGAGGGCACTTTTCAGGGATGGTAACCTTAGCTTCCATGATGTTTACAAAATATTAGTTTAATTTTAAAATGGCAATCATTAATTACCTATGTGTACATTGATAATCCTGAATTCTGCTTTAACACATATCAGATTGGAGTCACTTTTAACAATGTATTTTTGCAGAGTATTTTGATGATAATTTTTAGAAATAAGTGTTGAAATTAGAAAGGATTTTTTCTTGATTGCATAATTGTGCATATTTTATGAAATAACAACTGTTTTTAATGTGAATTGTTTTGAACAAATCCTGTAGCAAATTGTAATTGTAAATTCAAACTAATGTTGGCTAAAATTGATTAATAGATTATTTTACTTGCTTTGTATATATTTATTTTAATAAACTTTTTCTGTCATTATTTGAATTTTGTACCTCTGACGTGTGGGAAGTGATTGAGGCCTTTTCTGTGATTCGTCAGTAACAGACTGGAAGTTATTTATATTTATATTTATAGATTCGTTGGCCAATCAATGATATTTCGGTAATTATTTTTTCCAGTTCAATTAAGTTTCAATATTAAAAGCAGCATGACTGAATTTCTAATATGAATGTCATACTGATCTGATTGTGCTCTTAGCTTGACTGTTTTCACAAAGTTGTTAACTCATTAAATGTCTAATTCATATGCTGTTGCTCATATTAAAACTTGCAATGTTGCATTTCGTTTTTCACACTGCATATAGGTGATATATTCATATAAATCATTCTCGTCATGTAATTTGACAATGGCATATGGAAATGAAAAGTAGTATCAGTCAAACAACAAATGTTAACGTGGTGATCAAAGTGGTGCCAGTCAAACCAACCTACCTCACTATAAACTTGAAAATCCAGTCATCTTGCCAGCTTTATTGGAAAATGAGAATTTTTTTTCTCAAAACACGAATTTATTAACAGTGCCCACACAATTACCGAATTACAGAGATTATCATATAACTATTTGGGTTCTGTTAAGTGGACTTAAGTCTTAAGTGGTATAATCAACAATTTACATTAAACATCATCTACTCATCTGAATATGCACTATTTTCACAACGGACAATTCATTGCCAGAATGTTACACAGTAGATTTATAATTTCATTTTGATATATACTTTATGAAATGTCAAACCTGTCTATATAGGCTTGTTCTGCATAGTATTAATGTATCATTTGCAACTGTTGCATGCAATCTTTCTTCCCAATGTTTTTATCTGTGTTTATTTTCTACCATTTTCCCCCGATGAATTATAATTTTATATTGCTATTTTTTTCTGCAAAATATTATATATATATATAAGATAATCATTGTTATTGCTTTATTTGCATGTTATTACTTGAACTTTTATAGTTTCATATATATTCTCAAATTAAAAGTAGTTGCTCAACACTGATTTGTTGATTCGTTCGCTTGTAATTATTCATGCAATTTTCACGCAATCCTTATACTTGATCTTGAAGTAAAGGAACAATATTGTTGTATATGTTTTATATGCATTTAAATAAATTCAGTTGCAAAGTGTTAAGATGTATGTGGATACTGTTCAGGGATCCAGATAACTTCAGGAAAACAGTCATCATTATTGAGTACATGACATGAACATGATGA